ATACACGGACCCCGACCCTCCGTATTCCCACCGCGACATCCGTGCCAGTCAGCAGTCGTATCGCATGCCCCCCTCCCCTCCTCGGCACCCGCCCCCGCAGTCCCCATTCACAACAAGCCGTCTCTCCGAGTCTCCCTCTTCCCGCTCACCCGTGCGCCCGCCTTCCCACCACTCCTCCAGCTCTCCCCTCCTCTACACACAGCGCTCTGCTCCGTCCCCCGGAAGTTATTACCGCTCCCCATCCCAATATGATCATTCTTTCCAGCCCCCCATCTCCCCAACCCTTCGCTATTCCCGTCATGACCACCACTCAGAGCCTGTAGCTTCATCCTCGACACACCATCCGCCCCTGTCCCGCATCTCGACCGCCCCATCCTCTTCGTTTCCCCAGACGCTTCTCAACCCTGTTTCTCCGCAACAATCTCCTCTGGGTGGACTCGAGGCTCTCGTCCAAGCTGCTACCGCGGAGAGGGACAGACTCGAAGCGAAGGCTAGTCTTGAGCGCAAGACAGATGGCTCCCGCTCGGCTGTTCAACGCAGCCCCGAGTTGCTCTTCCGCTCCCCCCACGACATTCCCCGCACCCAGCTGCAGGCCCCCGCGCCCCGCACCCCTATCACTCCCTCTCTCATCTCGGGGCCTCTTCTCAACGACTCGTATTCCGAGTCGTCCTTCAGAACGGATACAAGCCCTGAAGTTCGTCCCGCCAAGCGCCGTCGCCAGTCGGACTCCCAGTCTGGGTCTGACCGAGGTTGGGACTCCCCTCCCTCCTGGGACACCCCCGCGTCTTTCGGTGTCGGTGCCCTGATGGGTCCGGGCGTAAAGCCACGTAGGTCTTCCGACGTTCGCACGGAGATGCGCCAGGCACCATCCATGCCCCTTCGCGAAGCAGAGGAAGTAATCACTGCGAGCAGGCGCATGTCACCCCCAAAAGACCCTCCGCCGCGAAGACCTTCCAAGTCCGAAAAGCAGCGTCCTCCCCCTCCTTCACAGGTCCAAGACCGTCATGAGCCAGAACTTTCCCCTACGTTAGCCCCTGAACACGATCGGTACAGCCTGTCAAGCGCATACGATGCACCGAGGACCAGCATTCACCGTGATTCGCGAGCGTCAACGTTCGGGGCGGTCCCGCTACGGCGCAAAATTTCGCAGCCCGATCTCCCAGCAGAAAGGCACAGTCCACAGCTACAGCCACTCCAGACCGCCCCTGCGTTATTGGGGCCCGTGCCCTCACCGCTGCAATCGCCACAGCAACGGACGCCAATAAGCGAGCCAGTCGAGGACCACAGTTCACGGGTGCAGGCTCCAGCAAGTCACAAATCATCAATGTCTGTGAGCATGCTTGTGTCTGCGCCTCCGGCGGTGAAAAGCGTTTTCTTGTCGGCCGTACTGGAGCCTCAGTCGACCTTCACCGAGACAACAAGCTCTATCATGCAGGAGGAATCATCCTTAGCGGTCGTCGATGATGCACCGCCTTCACCAGTACCCGATGTCCATTCCAGTGCTGCAAGTCCCGTCTCTCGCTTAACATCGGAGCCCAGGGAGGAGCGTTCAGCTCCTGCCGAAGCGTCAGACGCGGAACCTCCTCTCCTCCCGTCTCCCAAAGTTGACGATACACGAATTGTACAAAATGCCACCCCGGAGCCTGCTCCCCACCCAAGATCGCCCACGCCTCCTCGCGCAGAATCACCTGAGCATGTCTCGCTCAAGCAGGAATCAGAGCCTCCGCCTGCGGCACCGCTTTCCCCTGTGCAGAGCCCGCCCCCCGCCATCCCGTCACCAAAGGATTGGGCTCCCTTTGAACACGCTCCGGAAATTGAAATCGCCGTTCCAGAGCGCGAACCTAGTCCGGCCGTCGTACAAGCCAAGATTGATGTGGCTATCCCCACGCCCCCTACCGAGGAGCCAAGAACATCACCTTCACCTGCCCCTGCGCCTCCGACTTTGGGCTCTGAACCGCCCCTCGAACAAGAAGAGGTCTCGAGGCTCGACGACGCAGCCGCCGCAATGAGCGTCGACATCGACCTCGAGATTGCGCGTGAACTGGATCTGGCGGTGGAGTCGGTGGAAGCGGACAGCAGCGAGCCAGCGCAGGTGGAGATGGACGTTGACGAGGAGCTCCTCAGTCTCATTGAAGACAAGCCACCGCGCAGCTCTCAATCCGCATCCAAGAGACGCGGGCCTCCTTCGCCCGAGCTCAAGTCGTCTGCCTCCCATTCCCCTCTGCTCAATCAAGAGTTCGGAGCGGGCAGGTCGACCCCGTCGTACCTCACCACCTCCGTGTCTGCGCCTACGATCAAGTCGGAGCGCGCCTCGATGCCTCCTCCGAGCGGGACTGTCTCTACCCGCGACTCTGAAGCGGCCACTCCGAAACCGGAGGACCGGCTAGCTCAGAAGAAGAAGGTGAGCTCTCCGCAGTCCGTGCTCGCCTTGGCTGACATTTCCAAGGTTAAGCAGGCATCACAGCCCAAAAGCCGTCCCAAGCCAACCGCTCCGACAAAGTCGAAGCCAAAGGCACCGGCTGATGGGAGCGCCCCCGCGCCTTCCAAGAGCAAGAAGACACCGGCGACGTCGACCAAGAAGTCGGCTCTGGCTGCGCGATCCAGGTCAACCTCGGTCATGCCCCCAGGCACGACCCCTGTCCCCGCTGCGTCGGAGAGCAAGGCACCGGCCGAGGCGGAGCCCGAGGACGAGGCGGACGAGATGGAGGACAAGTTGTACTGCGTCTGCAAGACCAAATACGACGACGAGAAGGTCATGATTGCTTGCGATCGGTACGCCAGCAGCGTCCATCGCTTTCGTTCTGCCATCTTACCACACACGCAGCTGCGACGAGTGGTACCACACGTCGTGTGTCAACATGCCAGACCTGGAGGTCGACCTCGTCGACCAGTTCATCTGCCCCCTCTGCATCGAAAGTACGCACACCACGACCCCTCCCACGCACACCCCGGCCTGACCTCCCGCACAGAAAACCCGCACCTGGACCTGTGCACGACGTGGAAGCGGCGCTGCCTCAACGGGCTCAAGCAACGCGACCCGGCCTCGTCCGACGCGTGCCACAAACCCGCGCGCGGCGCGTTCTCCAAGTACTGCTCGGACGAGTGCGGCGTGCAGTACATGCACATGCGCGTCTCGCTCTGGATCGCGCAGGGCGGCGACCGCGCGCGGCTCTGGGACACCGTCAAGGCGGCCGAGCGGCGCGAGGGCGTCGCGGTCCCCGCGCCCGGCGCGCCAGCACGCGCCGCGGCGGCCGCGCCGCCGCCGACCAAGGCGACGCGCGAACTCGCGCGGTTGCGCGGGCGCCTCGCGGAGGTAGTGCGGAAGCGCGAGGCGCTGAAGGCGGAGACGGACGCGGTTGCGTGGCGCGAGAAGCTGACGCAGCTCGCGGTGCAGCGCGCCGAGGCGGTCGAGCAGTGCGGGTGGGACCAGCGGCTGTGCTTTGGTGACGAGGAGGTCGCCGAGTTTGGCGCGGGCGTGCTGGAGAGCTACGAGGAGGGCGACGGCGGCGCGGAGGAGGCCGAGTGGTGGTGCACGGGCAAGAAGAAGTGCGAGCGGCATGCAGGGTGCGTGGCTCGCGAGGGCCGACCGACTGACTGACTGACTGATGGCTGGGACAGGTGGCAGAAGCTGCGCGCGGCGGAGGTCGAGTTTGACAAGGAGATGCGCGACCAGGCGCTGGAGAAGCTCACAAAGCTCGAGCGCGAGATCCGGACGCGTGTCGAGGACATCCTCGACCCGCAGATGAGCGTCGGCGCGGCGGAGGGCGCGGGCACGGGCGCGGGGCTTGAGCCGTCCTCGCCGCTCGTGCCGACGCTGGCCAAGCCGCCGGTCTTGAACGGGCAGGCCAAGCACAGGCCAAACGGCGAGCAGGGGAAGAAAGGGAAGAAGCGGAAGGAGTGACGGACGTGCTTGTTTGTATCCGTCTCCGTGTTGTATCCTTCATTCGAGCGTGTGCGCGGGCAGAGAGAGAGAGCACGGACAACAACTGGGGGACCTGCGAGCGTAATCTACAACACAACAGATAGCGGGTGACCCGCGCTTCCTCCGGGGCCTAATGAATCTGCCAGGAAGGCGGGGACGAGTGTACACTCGACGACGACACGACGCAGACGCAGACTCAATAGCCGTCGCCCTCGCCGCCCTCCTTGCAGAAGCCCTTTTGCTCGTAGAGGATCTTGGCCTTGGCCTCCTCGCGCAGCTTTTTGGCGGCGATGTCCTCGCGATAGTAGTCGTCAAGCTGGTGGTAGTCGACCTGGCGCAGCGGCACGTCGTCCTCCTGGTCCAGGTCCTGCGGATGGGCGTCATCGTGAGGGGCATGGACACAGCGCGTAGCGGGGGACGGGGGCGCGCACGATCTCGCCGAGCAGGACGACGTTCTCCCCGCGGATGAGGAAGAGCCCGCACCACTTTTCGGCGAAGGTGGTGCCGGCGTATATCCGCTCGACGGTGTCCTCGAGGACGAGGTTTGCTGCAGTGCGGGTCAGCGACGGCAGCGGCGTTGGGGCGCACGGGGGGGGGGGGGGGCGCACCGAACTGGTCGTAGGAGCGCAGGACGCCGTGGAGCTTGCGGCCGTCGCGGAGGACGACGAGCATCTTTCCTGGGGGAGAGATGGAGCGCACGGCGGGGTGCGGGCGGGGCGCGGGGGGACGTACGGTCCACGCAGTCTACGAGCGAGCCGGAGGTTGTGAATGGGATGAGCGAGTCCATGCAATGGCCAACCGCGAGGCCGAGTAGTACTAGTGTTGGGTATTGGGACAGAGGCGAGCGACGCTTCTCTTCAGTGGCTCGTCGTCCTGGTGCGCTTCAACGCTCTGCGCCGCTGGGCTCATGTCCAGCAGCCACGACGACGCGCACGGCTATTCACCTAGCCACACACTCAGATGGTTCTATTATAACCTGCGCGCAAGATGGTGTCTCTGTGGGTGCGAGTGCTACTCGGATGCGCTCGAAAAGAGGCGGGGGCGATAGATGGTGGCACACTACGGGGGAATCAGATATGCTGATATGGCCGAGTCGTTAAGGCGAGTGATTTGAATCACGTTTCGCAACGTGGCAACATCACTTGGGCATTGCCCGCGTAGGTTCAAATCCTGCTGTCAGCGTTTCTTTTGCTGCTCGCAGGACTCGACTCCGGGACTCTCCGGCTACGCGGAACAGGCCGTACCTTTTTTTCAACCCCTTCTCTCCTTCCACGATGTACGCAAACGTTCAACAATGCGTACCTCTGCGCACTCCAATTCACGTCCGCAATACCGTCTGAATATTCGCCCTTCACTAGTCACAGAGTTGCTTTCCCACATCTCTGTGAACTTCCTCCGGGCAAATAGCGACCCCTCGCCCTCTGTGTCCCTGTCTGCAGATTGTATGCCTCTCGTAGACAACAGATAGCACAGCCATTGCGTTGCGACGCGATGCACAGTCATTAGCATTAATAGAATCGTGTTGCTCGAAACCCAGTGTGTGTGTGGACTTGCCAGCGGTACACCACCGGCCATACATGTTGCAGTCTTTTGGGCGAGCGGATGCCTCGTCCTGCCGAAATCTATGCCACCCCTCTGCTGCGCGACCCCAGGGCGACGTCCTCATGACGCGTTCGACGCCTTGCCGTAGTACTCCCACTGGCCGGGCTCTGGCTTCTCTTCCAGAGGCTCCCACCTGCGCTCCGTCAGCCCACCGCATACACGCATACAAAGCGCATCCACTCACGCCTTCCACTCGGCCATCTTGTTCACGAGACCGAGCTCGTCCCGCGCAACCAACAGCACCTCCTCAATCTGGCCCTCGTCCAGCTGCTTCTCCGCCGTAGCGACGTCCCCATTCGCCTCCTGCACAATCTTGAGCTTCCTCAGCGTTATGGCCTCCGTGCCCTGGCGGTATGCCGCGTGCTGCGGGAACGCGGAGAGCGCGGCGAGGGTCGACTCGTACGTCTTGGCCAACTCCGGGAGCGGGTTCGGGTGCACGGCGAGGCCGTAGAGGCCGGTGGTCAGCTTGGACGCCTGAAGCAGCGGGCGGGTGAGTCGGAGCATCGTGCGTGCGGCGGGCCTATTGGCGGTGTACGAGTGCTGTAGAGGAAAGCAGGTGCGGGAGCGAGTGTGTAGAGCAGCTCGGGTTGCCGGCGCCTGTCGGAGTACCAAACGCGTCCTGCGCCAGCTCGCGCGCGCCTCTGCTGCCTTGACCGTTCACCGACTTGTCCGCGGGCACCAACCATGGCCTCCGTTGCGCTGCACCAGTATCTCTCCATCCCGCGGCGCCTCGCTGCGATGTCTTCGGCCTTCTTTACCGCGTCGCCCTCGGCCATCCTTGGCTCGGCATGGTCAATACCCCTCCTTCCGTCCCTCCGCGACCTCATTCCCCCCTTCCTCCTCGCCGTCCCCAAAAAGAAGGTCTCGCACTCGCGGAAGGCCATGCGCAGCGCAAACAAGGGCCTCAAGGACAAGCACAGTACGTTGCGACGCTGGGCTGCCGTGTTGCTTGCGCTCATTTGTCCGCTAGATTTGGTGCATTGCCCCGGATGCGGGTCGGCGAAGCTTGCACACCATTTATGTCCCCAGTGCTACTCTACCATCAACCGTGCATGGAAGGCAAAGTCCAGGAGTGACGGCTCAGTGACCGAAGTGTCCTCGTAGTATCTGTATGTGCGACTCGCCGCCATATGGTCATGCTCAATTTCGACTGACAACGGTTCCCTCCATAGCGTCAGCTTGTCATGTTACATAGAACAATCATCCGCTATCTAATATTAAGACATTTCTGCATGCAATGTGGTGCGATCCTGGGCGTGACTACATGACATGGCATGGTAGGCTTTGGTCAAATTACCAACGGCCTTCTACATCATTCAATATGTGCCCGAATGTGGTGCTCTACTACCGCTCCCACTTCATTGAGGCCATGGGTCCAGAGCGAGAACCAGAGCCATGCAAAGGCGAAGCCATACCCGCATCCTACGACGACCTGTGGCAACGTATGGTGCCCCAACCAAATCCTGGAGCCAGCCACTGTGAGGGAACATGGGACGACGACCAGTGGGACCAGTTGTCGGAGTAAGGGCCCCTGTGAGAGGGATGGGTGCGACGGCAACAGCGCGCATGCGAGGGGTATATATGTCCCATAGTATGTGATCGTCGCGGAATGTGTACTGGGCATCCTGAGACGAGGCGTAAATCCCGAGGCGCGATCAGTCAGAGACTGCACTTGCCCGTACGTCTGTTTCTGCCTCCTGTGCGTTATTTGCACCGGGCGCTCTTGGCGGAGGACGCGCTTGAGGACCTTGACGGTCAACGAGCAGGCCAGCGCTCCGACAGAGAAATAGGCGACCCCCGCGGAACGTGTGTACAGCACCACGGACGCCGTCAAGGCCGTCACCACGAGGTTGGTCTACCGGAGTTGATGCGGGTTAGACGAGCGAAAGCGTCCCCCGAACAGACCCACCCGGTCGAGTAAGCGCAGAGCGAAGCCGTTAAGAGAGGGCCTAGTGCGTGAATCAGCCTGCATGGTATTCTGAGCGACAAGGCGGGATCGGTGGGGGATGCGTACCTCGGCGAGGGTCGTCTGTGTTGGCGAGGGCTGGTAGGTCGGGAGTCATGAGGTCCGGTCTCCCCACGCAGGGCCATTCTTTGGCAGAGGATACGATCAAGTTGAGCAGCCCTGGGCCGCGGAGCACTGGCTTGGAGGGAGAGCGCGCGACTGGCAGCGCCACCGATCGCAGGCGCCACTCGTACACTGCGCGTCCAACAGGCGGCGTATGTCGTTCTCAGCCATCATCGTCTTTTCCATTCTTCTAGCCTGCGGCGCCGCCTACCTCTTCCGCAGAACGGGCGACCCGTATGGCACATTTCATATCGAGCTAAACAAAGTTCCTGGAGGGCCTGACCCGCCGCAGACAGAGTGGCTCAACATGGGCTATTGGAAGGTGCTGACAGCTCGCGCGCCTTCGCCACCGCCGCTCGCGCTGACCCAGCTTCTGGGCAGGATACTGCCATCTTCCCCGAGGCATGCCAAGGTGCGTTACGGACCTTCTGCTCGCGTCCCCCCTTCTGACCGCCCGCAGCGCTTGCTCTTCGCCTGTTCCGCGCGGCCGCTCTGAAGCCTCAGGGACGCGTCCTAGGTGAATCACTACCCTGCCTACGCGCCCGCGAGCGTCCCTCTGAGCAGCGGGGCCGGCAGACGTTGGCCACGGCAGCGGCGAATCGCTCGTCCTGCAGCTGACCCACCTGGACGTGCCGCGGCCCGCCGTGCTGTGCGGGATCACCAGTCTCCCGTCGCACTATCGGCGTTCTCGGGAGCGGGTGGGCGGCATCTTGTCCCCCGCCGCGGGCACCACGGCTGTCCGCCTGTTTGAGGGCGACGCCGTCTGGAGGGTGGGGCAGCGGGACCACCCGCTCGCGCCCGGCTTCGATCACACGTTTGACAGCATCCTTGCGCTGGACTGCGCTTACCACTTTGAGACGCGCCAGGTGTTCCTGCGCCAGTCGTTCTCCCGGTTGGAGCACGGCGGGCGCGTCGCGCTGGCGGACATCTGCTTCTCGCACGCGCCCAACCGGGCTCTCACGTTTCTCTTATCGCGCGTGCTTCGCGTTCTGCGCAGGGAGAACATCGTCACGATAGAAGAGTATGAGCAACGCCTCCGGGACATCGGATACGAAGATGTAGAGATAGAAGATATCACGCCGTTCGTCCTTCCTGGTTTCCGGAACTTTCTGAAGCAGCGGGGGAACTTGTGGAAGGCGTTTACGTGGTCGCTGGGCTGGCTCCAGGGACATGGCATGCGCTTCGTGATCGCGAGGGGTACTAAACCGCCACTGCGTTGACCTGATGTATGGTCGTGCTTGTCCTCATTAATTAGTACGCTAGACCACGAAGGTCACTTCCACTTGAAGTCGATCAATGATATCTTATCTGCATACGTAGTCACGTGTGTCACGTGATTAGCGTAAAATGTCGAGGAGTGTTCAGCGCGTTCAGTCTGTTCTGTGAAATTGACCCGGCTTCAGATCCCGGCTCTTCTAGCGGACCACAGCCTGAACCTGCACAGGCTCACTCGCAATGGCCCCGGAAGACTTTGTTATGACGCTAGACTCGGATGAGGAGGCCCCTCCCGAGACCGCCAAGCGCTCCAAGGCGCACAAAGCTTCGAAAGAGGCAGACGAGGCGCAGCTAGACCCTGCGTTCACTTTTGACCTGTCTGGAGACCCCTACAACGATCTACTTCAGGGAGGGACAAATTTTGTTGATGTAGTGAAGAGTGGTTCGAAACCAGTGCGTCCTTGCAATGCTCCCCGTGGTTCAGTCGGCTGAGCGAGTACATCTAGGAACCCATATCCGTGGACGATATCATAGCCAAGCGGCGGTTGCGTCGTACTTCCGGGAAACGAAAGCGCGACGAGGATAGCGACGACTCTGACAAGGGCAGCGACGAACTCGAGGATGCCGAGCTGAGCGATGAAGATGGCTCGGAGGACGAAGGCTCGGTGGCTCCCGACGGGGCCGAAGGAGAAGAAAGCGAAGGCGACCCACTAGCTACGTCCGACGAAGAGGAAGACGGCTCTGATGGCCCCTCTCAGGAGGAAGAGCTTTCCGAGGACGAAGACGCCGGACCCTCTTCCGACGATGACAGCGCATCGGAGACAGAGGCGCAGAAGGCCAGGAAGAAGGCGTTCTTCGCTTCAGATGCTCCTGCGTCTGAGGAGCACTCGTCATTCCTCACTATGAATCTGTCCCGTCCCGTTCTCAAAGCCTTGACCTCACTCGGCTTCCACACCCCGACTCCAATCCAGGCTGCCACAATACCCGTCGGCCTCCTGGGGAAAGACGTTGTCGGCAACGCCGTCACCGGCTCTGGCAAGACCGCCGCCTTCATCATACCCATGATCGAGCGTCTTCTGTACCGTGACCGGGGCAAGAAGGCCGCTGCGACACGCTGCCTGATCTTAGTCCCCACTCGCGAGCTGGCGGTGCAGTGTTATGACGTTGGGAAGAAGCTGGCCGCTCATACAGACGTCCAGTTCTGCCTCATAGTTGGTGCGCATGCTGTTTCTGCCTCTATGTCAGCATTGACCTCAGTCAGATTGGCTGCACAGGTGGACTGTCGCTCAAGTCGCAG